CATGCCCCTTCCGCCCATAACCTAAGATAACACAGGCTGCACATGACACTGTGCAGTCCATAACCCAAGTTATCTTCGGCATACACCTTAAGGAACTTCATAAAAAAAACCCTTGACTTATAACTTTTCCAAAAATGTATGGATCAGCATATATACATCGTTATCTATGATCTCTGCAAATTTTATGAATTATTTTTGCCACAAAAATCTTTTTTCACAATTTATTAATTAGGTAATTAATTGTGCTATTTTTTTTTTTATGAAAGTTTTTGAATCAAATTAATTAAATTGTTTCAAACATCTGTTTGACCGTTTTGACTTCGGTAAAATTTTTAAAAACACTATTAGATGTTTTCTATGACATTAGCAGGTATTTTTTGTTTTTTACTCAGTACAATTTTTTCGCATACCTTTTTTCCAGTCCCCCAATATTCTAATAGCATAAAAATCGAAAATATTTTGTTATATTTAAACAGATGCAATAAGTTAGCTCCCCTCCTGCTTCAAACCAATATTCCCAAGGCATACATGAGAACTACCCAGGAAAGCTGAAACCAGCTGTTCTCAAGGTCAAACAGTTTGTAAACAATATAGACAGCACGTGTGAAACCTCATGCCTAGTTAAATGAATGAATAACAATCCTTGCAGCTATGTTTTTCAAATAAAAGCATTTATTTTAAATAATTTTTATTTTTTTATACTTTTTCTGTAAAAACACTTTTTGGAGGGGTTTTTATTTTGCGGTAATTATTCCCCGTCAATTTTTTTGGATGTTAGATTCGCGTTTAAGTGGAAATAATTATTTCACTTTTGTGGATTTCTGAATGGCATTCAAAGCGAAACAAATGTAGCAGATGGTTAAACAATATAAATTTTTAGTAAATAAAATAAACTAAAATAAATTAACAACACAATGTAAGAATCCTGATAGAGAAAGATTGTTCTAAAGAAATTATTAATGACAAATGATGTTTTAATCACAAATATAAAAATAATATTTTATAACTATAATACTTTAATTCAAACAAGAAATGTTGATACTTTCATTTTTGAAAGGAAGTGAACTTCCTTCCCTACAGTCAACTTGGAAGTTGAGTCAGAAATGGCCTCACCCGAGATTTGGCTGTCTGTTAGGCCATCGACTTGTATAAAAGAGACATTTTCCCACCACTCCTGGCTGTTCAGGTAGATTGGTTGGTTAACATTTATTGGCACAAAAGCCATGCAGGCTATACTGCGCCATGACACATGGTACAATTGGAAAAATAAAATAAAATAAATAGGGAAACACATATATACACAAACGAAACATAAGAGTTTAACCACTACAAAGCCAATGGTAATATAAATACAGGGTGGGCCAACGAAAACGAAACAAAAGAGTTATCGTGTTCGTCCAAGCAAATCGCTCAAACAGGTCGATTTTATTGTCAAGGGAGATATCAGCAATAATATTTTTGCAGTTCTAAATACAACAGACAACAAAAATTTTAAAAACTCATTCATTTTTTTCCGAAATAAATGTTTGTGTAGTTAATAAAAAAATGAATGAGTTTTTAAAATTTTTTGTTGTCTATTGTATTCAGAATCACAAAAACTTTATTGCTGATATTCCCCTTGAGAATAAAATCGACCTGTCTGAGTGATTTGATTGGACAAACACGATAACTGTGCTGTTTCGTTTTCGTTGGCCCACCCTGTATAAAATCTAAAATATAATACATAAATAAATAAGTAAACAACAACAAAAAATATATACACAATAGTTTAAATAGGCAGCATAAAGTAAATATAACTGTACAATAAATAAATCATCAGATTTCTCTATATATATTAGTGACTTTCAGAAAGTCCAGTATATTATCCAGATTTGGCCTCTGGCCCAAAATGTCTCTAAGGCTTGCACTTCCGAAATGCTCTCTACATTTCTGATCAAAAGCAACATAGTTGCAAAATATGTTTTAAACACTTACAGTACAGTTGAAGTACTGAAATACCAGTTCATCATCTCCCTTCAATAGGTATTGATGAGTCAGTCGAGTGTGTCCAATTCTCGAACGAGTGAGGACAACCTCATGTCTCCTGTCATAAAACTTCTTGTGTGTCCAATTTTCTATCAAAAATTTGATCTCATATAGTTTATTGTGGATTTGTGCATTCCACATATTTTGCCATCTCTCTGCTAGTCATTTTTTAACAACTAGCTTCAAATGACTTCCTTCGATACACATTTCATGCTGTGAAGGACTAGCTGACTTTGCTGCTGCATCAGCTTCTTCATTTCCTCTTATTACATGGCCTGGAACCCAACAAAATTTTATAGAAAAATTCCTTGCAAAAAGATGACAAATTAGTTTCTCAATTTTAATAACTATGGAGTGGGAACTAGGTTCATACAAGATCAAAGCCTGAAGTGCACTAACTGAGTCAGTGTAAATCACACAGCAACGATGAACTTTCCGATTTATATATTTTAAGGCTAAATAAATAGCCTGCAACTCCGCAGAAAAGATAAAAAAATTCAATGCTATTTGTTCTGCTGCAATTTCATTTTGGCAAACAAAAGCTAAGCCAACATAGTTAACCGATTTCGATCTATCAGTATAAAAAGAAATTAAATTCCTGTCATAATTTTGAATTTCTGCGAAGTGCTGTCTATAGACGCAGTCTGCCATGGTTTCTTTGGGAAACAGCTTCGAGCTTAAATCAACATCTATTGCTAGGGTTGTCCAAGGTAAAATACTATTAACCTCATCCTGTGAGATGTTGTTTGTGTTAAAGTCAATCGTGCTGCTTACATTCTCCATTCTTATGATGAATGTAGAAACACTACTTTGGCGAGCTTCAAATAACCTTTTCAGCAGAGTATCTGATACTGTACCATCAACTAAAGGTTTAGTATGGGATTTCTGTTTTATATAATGAAAAAGAGACAACTGTTCTCTCCTAAGAGATAGTAAAGGCTCATAAGCATCCACGTACAGACTTTGGACAGGAGAGGTGCAAAATGCACCAGTGCACAGACATAATGCTTCATGATGGATTAAATCCAGCATCCAAAGAGTAGATTCCCTCACAGAGCCATACACAAACACATCCGTAGTCCAGCTAAGAGCAGACGAGGGCCCTATAAATCCTTAGCATATAACATTTGTCTGCTACCCAGGATGAGTAGCACAGTACCTTTAAAAGGTTTAGAGATTTTAAACATCTACTCTTCAAATTGCACAGGTGTGGCAAGAATGTTAGTTTATGGTCAAACAAAACACCGAAAAATTTTGCCTCATATCACCATTAAGATTTTGACCCCATTTAGATGAATTTCGAGATGGTTGGTTGGTTGGTTTTTGTTTTTTGGCACAAGAGCCGTATAGGCCATGCTGCGCCAAGGCAAAAAGTTAAAAAAAATTTTAAGCATAATAAATAAATAAATAAACAACAACAACGAAAATAAATATACACATATTAAGTACAAACGAAAAACAACATGCAAAAATGAAATAAATATATAAATAAATAATTGATTAATTAAATTTCTTTATACAAATTAATGACTTTTAAAAAGTCCAATACATTATAATGATTTGGTCTCTGGCCCAGAATATCTTTGAAAGTTGCATTTCCAAAATGCTGTCTACGACTGATCTCAAAGGCAGAGCAGTTGAGCAGTATGTGTTTAACACTTAGTAAGCAGTTGCAATACTGGCATACTGGTTGCTCTTCACCCTTCAAAAGGTATTGATGAGTCAACCGAGTATGTCCAATCCTCAGACGAGTAAAAATAACCTCAGATCTCCTGTCGTAAGGTTTCTTATGTGTCCAATTTTCTATCATGGGTTTGATCTCATGTAGTTTATTGTGGATTTGTGCATTCCACATATTTTGCCATCTTGCCACTAGTCGTTTCTTAATGACTAGTGGCAATATGGCAAAATATGTGGAATTTCGAGATCCAAATGCAAACCATGCCTTTGGCAAAAGTAGGTGCACAAGGTCTTCTCCATGTTAAAACTAAAACCATTGGTCTTGGACCAATGGTCTATGCGATTTAGGGAAATTTGCAGTTGTACCTCAATAAAACTCATGTTGCTAGACTGGCAGGAAATCTGAAAGTCATCCACATACAAAGAGTGTTTCACACTAGGGGAAAGACAGTTAGCTATGCTATTAATTTTAATTAGGAACAGAGTCATACTCAAAATAGAGCCTTGAGGAACACCTTGTTGCATAAAAAGACAAGATAAAGTGTTGCCAATTCTAACTTGGAATCTTCGATTCTCTAAGAAATTTTTTTATAAAAATCGGCAAATTACCCCACAATCTGAATTGGTCCAAATCACTAAGTATCCCCTATCGCCAACAGCGATCATAGGCCTTCTCTATATCAAAATACACAGACACTAAGTGCTGTCGTCTAACAAACGCTTCGCAAATAGATGTTTCAAGGTTAACTAAGTTATCAGTGGTACTTCTGTTCCTACGAAAACCACTCTAATGTGGTGAAAATAATTCATTTCTCTCTAAGATACATCAGACGTCTGTTTACCATCCTCTCAAAGAGTTTACACAGACAACTGGTCAGTGAGATTGGTCTGTAATTAGATAGATTTTTGTGGTTTTTACCAAGCTTGGAAATGGGTATAATAATAGATAGCCTCCAAGAATCGAAAAAAGTATGTTCTGTCCATATTCTGTTAAACAAACACAGAGAATTAGAATAAGAATTATTTGACAAATTTTTGATCATGCTGTAGTAGATTTTATCCAAGCCTACAGCACTATTCCCTGAGCGAGAGATCGCTGTATATAGTTCTATGCTGGTGAATGGCACATTATATTCCTCATTATATGAGGAATGAAAGTTTAAATATTGTTTTTCACTTTGGGCTTTATAAACCTGAAAATTTCTTGAATACATAATATTGCTGGATGAAGTAGAAAATGTTTAACCCAACGTATCAGCAATACCCTGTATATCGCTGATTATTGTGCCATTATTTTACAGCATGGACAGAGAGTGAAAAGCATATTTCCCATTAATTTTATAGATTTTATCCCAGACTGCTTTTGAGCAAGTGGATGATGTTATGCTAGAAACATACTTCCTCCAAAAATCCCTTTGGCATTGCCTTCTTATTCTTCTGGCATTTGCCTTTGCTTTTTGGAAAGCAATAAAATTGTTTGTAGTGGGGTACCTTCTGAAAATCCCCCAAGCTTTCTTTTGTGCTTTAAATGCTGCCTCGCAATTCTGGTTACACCATGGTTTCGGATGCTTTGGGTATCTTGTTGATGTCTTTCCCATTGTTTTCTCAGCTGCCTGAATAATACACAAAGTGACAACTTCAACTGCATCATTGATATCAGCAGTATTTACCATTTCCTCAGTAATGTTAGCCAAAGAGGAAAATGCAGGCCAATCTGCCGTTTCCAGTTTCCAGCGTAATGGACGGGCTGCTTCACAGCTTTCTCTCCCTCGGTATTTTAGAAATATTGGGAAGTGGTCACTAGAAAGTAAATTAGATCCAGCCTCCCATGTTAATGCTGAAAACAGATTCAGAGTTGCTAATGATAGATCAATAGCAGTGAATGTTCTTGTTGGAACATGGAAGTATGTAACTTCGCCAGTATTAAATAAATACAGTTGCTGATTGCCAATGAATCTTTCAATGGCCCTGCCTCGACGATTAATGTCGGGACTGCCCCACATAGGATTGTGGCCATTGATGTCACCCAGTAAAAGGAATGGTGTTGGCAGCTGTTCAACCAAGGCATCCAGTTCATTCTCATTGACTCTGACATCTGGTGGCAAGTATATAGAACAAACTGTGACAGTTACTCCAACAGATATTCTGACTGCCACAGCTAGCAGCTCTGTTGTTATTTATACTGATAAAAATGAAATGCGATTTGCAACCAGAATAGCCACACCGCCACTGGCACGGTTGTGGCTATCATCATCCTTGCAATAGAGATTGAATCCTTTTAAAGTAATTCTTTCTCCAGGTTTCAGATGGGTTTCCTGGAGTGCCACGCAGAGAGTTGAAGTAGAGGATGTCAAGTGTTTAATGTCAGAGTTGTTGTTGCGAAAACCATGACAGTTCCATTGGATTATTTTGTAATCCATTATGTATTTGAGGTAGCATTCTTTGTGAAGGTATCCCTCTTTAGTTTTACAGCTGATTTGCCTTTTAGAGGTGAAGTTGGTCACCTCCTTATTAGTCTCCTCGTCAGAGAAGTCAGAGAACTCACTCATAGACTGAGCCTCTGATCTCTTAGATTTGGAGATGGCTGCTTTTAATTTTTGTTTGTTGAGCGGGTTCTTAGCAGCCTTCTTAAAACCCACATTTCTTGTTATGACCCCTGTTTTAGGTAAGAATGTTTTGGTCTTCTTGCTCTCCTTTTCTGCTGTTTGAGTAGATGGTATAAGCAAACATTTTTCATGGCGAGTTAGAGTTTCATTTGGTAAAACAGAAATTTCTGTCTGAACTCCACATGTCTTTGTGGATTTCAGAACAGCAACAAACTTCTGCTGTTTCACTGGTGCACTTAAAGTGACCATGCGTCGTGCCTCTGGGTAAGGTATATTATTCACCGTCTTTACCCGCTGAATCTCTTTCTCTCTTTGCCACGTGGGACATTTTCAAGAGTAGGCAAAATGGCCCTCTTTGCAGTTGACAGAGCATGGAGTGGTTGTACACTCAGTACTTTGGTGGCCTTAAACTCCACACTGTGCACATAAACTTTTGCCTCGACAGGATGTTTGGGAATGTCCAAATCGCTGGCATTTAAAGCAACGCAGCAGATTTGAAATGTACAAGCGCACTGGACAGCGCAGATATCCTGCAGTAACAAATGATAGTAATGTTGGCTTTCCAAAAATAAGAATGAGATATTTAGTTGGTATCAACTTGCCATCTCGACGAACGGCGATGCGTCACACAGCAGTGACACTTTGATCTGAAAGACCAATCTGTATATCTGATTCGTCTTCAGACATCAGATCAATCTCAGATATCACACCACGTGAGGAATTCAAACTTCCATGTGGTGTGACTGTTACTTCAATATCTCCCAGATTCTTTGTAACTAAAAGTTTTGCCAACTGTTGAGATGAGGCAGTTTCTACAAGTAAGTCCCCTGACCTCAATTTCTGTATCTTTTTCAGGTGTCCAATACTTGATTCGAATATTTTTTGAATGAGAAATGGAGAGCAATTTGAAAAAGGTTTTTCTCCAGTAGCATGTACTATCAAGTAGGATGGCTGACTGGAGGTCTTTTCATTTGTTGTTGCTGATGTATCTGATCGTTTTGTGTTTTTTGAATCCATAATTATATATAATTATTCGACTCCTGGTGGCCCCACCCACCATGAGGCCGAACAAGGGGATGCCGTCACATGGAGTACTTCCATAGACCGTCACACCAGAGTTTCCCAGGAGCTATACCCTTACAATGCAGTCAAGAAGAGCACATCTTGTCTGACGTGTCCACCCGATCTGCATCGATCAGTTGACTCCAAGCCGAGGTCAAGAATGACTCAACGACCAGCCGATTGACGCAAACAGAGCCTGATTTCAGCCTTCCGTTTATCCGAAGCAGGGGCCAAAGCAGTGTGTTGGGGACGTTATGTTGCCCCTCAACTACCAGGATCCCCCTTTCCGGCATACAAGACACCACGCACGGCAAACACATAAGTGGGCGTTCAGATCCCAGGGATGGTAAAGAAGAGTTACTAAACCATCCCTGGGAGGTCCCCTCACCACGGACGAGAACCCACATCGAAAGGTCCTGGCTGTTCAACAAGGTATGAACAAGTCATAAAAGGCAATGGATCAAAAGAAGTACTTGCCATATAATATACAATGAAAACCGTTCCAAGTTAAGAGGACCACCACATAGATGTTGATCATATTATAATAGCGCATCCATAGATGTTGGTTGGTTAACTTTTATTGGCACAAAAGGCATACAGGCTATACTGCGCCACAACACATGGTGCAATTCAAAGTAGAAAATAAATAGGAAGACATATATACACATAAACAAAACATCACAGTTTAACCATTAAACAGCCAATGGTAATATAAATATAAAATCTAGAATATAATGGATAAATAAGTAACAACAAAAATAAATAAATAAGCGACAACAAAAATAAATAAACAAACAACAACAAAATATATATACAATAATTTATATATGCAACTCAACAGAGAACTGGTTTAACAACTGGAAGCCGAGTAAGACTTTTAGAAAGTGCAGTATATTATCCAGATTTGGCCTCTGGCCCAAAATGTCTCTAAGGCTTGCATTTCCGAAATGCTGTCTACGACTCTGATCAGAAGCAACACAGTTGAAAAATATGTGTTTAACACTTACAGCACAGTTGCAGTGCTGACATACTGCTTCGTCATCTCCCTTCAATAGGTATTGATAAGTCAGTCGTGTGTGTCCAATTCTCGAATGAGTGAGGACAACCTCAGATCTCCTATCCTATTGCCTATTATGTGTCCAATTTTCTACCAAAGGTTTGATCTCGTAAAGTTTATTGTGGATTTGTGCATTCCAAATGATTTGTCATCTCTCGGCTAGTCGTTTTTTAACAACTAGCTTCAAATCACCTCCTTCAATATGCATTGTATGCTGTGAAGGACTTGCTGACTTAGCAACTGTATCAGCTTCTTCATTACCTCTTATACCCACGTGGCCTGGGACCCAACAGAACTTCACAAATAAATTTCTTGTAGTGAGATGACAAATTAGTTTCTGAATTTTAATAACTAGAGAGTGAGAACTAGGTTCATACGAGATCAAAGCCTGAAGTGCACTAACTGAGTCAGTGTAAATCACGCAGCAACGATGACCTTTCCGATTTATAT